ACTACCTTTATTATTCACTTTGCAAATGAATTAGTTGGTACACAGAAAATTAATATATTCATCATCATTCTATTAGAAACATGTTTACCACTTCATACTTTTATACATTGAATGACTAACTAATCTTAGCTAGACTATCATTGAGAAACATTTACTGTTGAATCGCTATTTAATCTTACTATGGGACCCTTCAGCGAACTCATGGCTTCTGGTTTTGTGTGCAAACGTTTAACATCTGGATCACTGACCCAGCGTCCGACGGTGTTAATGTCTAACTTCAATCAGTCGAGAGCGCAAGACCAAAGTTCCTGAATTCGATTCCTATGTGGGGATCGTAGGCGCGCACTGATAGGGAGTCCCGTGCTATGGCTAAACGCCCATCCAATGCTTCCAGGTTTTCAATGGTGGTCTAACGTTGATTGGTTCATAGTTTCGGTGCAACTAGAGAAATTTTGGAATCCAAGGAGCTTTGTGATTGATGTGTAGTTTATAATATGAGATTTATCAACAGTGCATACTCAATACTCTGGACAGAAGTGATACATTTGTGTTGACACTGACTTTATAACCGCTTCCTAGTCCTTCTCACAAAACTCTAAGCGTATTCTAAAGCTAGTAACTGGATTGATAACTATTTGTTTAGCATACGACACATAATTTGTCATTTTCGTAGAGCTGTTTGGAAAATTTCTGTTGAATACTTATAGAATAAAGTATTTTCAGACTTTTTTTCAACTTCTGAATACTTTTTCGAGGAATTCTTAAGGGCTCCCATCACTTACTCATTCACTCGCATTAAGACTTGCCTTTTCACAGCATGATCTAACAATATATAATAGGTAGTGAACATTATTCGTAAAGATTATTACCATAGGATAAAATAATCATCTATTCATTATATTGTTTTGTTATTTAGTCGCAAGTTTTTACTATATCCGCTCAGGATGACTACGTACCAAGAGAAGCTGATCTCTTTCAGATTTTAATATCAACAATGGGGAATAATAAGCCTATACAAAAACCTTTGTACCTATTGAGCATTAGCTAAGTGGGTAACATATCGATCATATGAAGTGAAAACTATTAGGTCCGAGCCCTAATGTGAACACCAACAAGGATCTGGAATTACATCCAGTTGATAAGTTACAAATAGAACGAGATACGTGTTCTAGATTCTAAAACTTATATTAGGGTAATTTGATTAATTAACAAATTGAGTAAGCAACTGACCAATGTTACAATGTTTCTCGTACCAATGACCACTGATCATCTGCTTTTTACTCTACTAAAAAGCAAAGACGAGGATCCGAAGGAGCTAGAGACAAGACCATGTAAATGAAAGCAGAACAATACATTCTGACATGGGGATATTTAAAAATAAAGCCCAAATGGTACCGGCTGGTGAAGTGAAGATAAATTTTGTTTCATTTAAATCTATTCGGAATCTAAAGTTATCCTAAAAGTCCTGTCTTCTCTGTTTCATATTAACGTGTATATCATCAACATCGAAGTGTTGTTGTGTGTCAAACGTACAGCCTACTCCAGTTTTTATTTGTTGCATTATATTAGAAGAATTCTCAATCGTTCGTAAATAGAATTTATCGAAGGTTAACTGAAAACCCAATACTTTAAACATTATTTTAAAGACAACAGATATATTGCTAATAATAATAATAATAATGATAATGATAATAATAATAATAATATGCGACACTAAAGAAGAAGAATGTATCTGTAAAATCTCAGCGAATGAATTTGAAGTAAATCCCGCGTTTCGCCTGGCAATCTGGTTCAAGCTTTTTCAAGGAAATATAATTAAGCATGAAAATTATCGAATAAACAAATTAAACCATTTAAACTCTCCCTTCCCAGTTGAAAGAAGAATTATGATTCCCCATGATGAAAGCCGAGATTCTTCGAAAGTCACGAGGACAATGCCCCTTCTAGCAACCAGAGCAACAATTTTTATGGGTACATGGAACGTCCGGATAATATAGGAGAACGAGAGGACCAGTCAAATAACAAAGGAAATGAGGAGATACAACTTGGCGGTTCTCGGAATCAGCGAAACCTATTGGACTCAAGCTGAACAGCAAAGGTCAAGTATAGAAGAGGTGCTGCTGTACTCCGATCACGAAGAGGAAAATTCTTCACACACTCAGAGAGTTGCTCTGATGCTGTCCAAAAAAGCAAGAAGTGCACTTATCGAATGGGAATTTCATGGATCCAGGATCGTCAAAGTATCCTTTAAAACAAAGAAGGAGGAAATCACAATGAATATTATCCATTGTGATGCACCCATCAATGATAGCAATCATGACGATAAAGATCAGTTCTACGATGGGCTGCAATCGATCATAGTAAAGTGTCCAAGAAAGAATCGCACCATTCTGAAGGGAGATCTAAACCCCGAAGTCGGAATGGGTAACAACAGTTATGAAGATAACATGGGACAACATGGACTGGGAGAAAGGAACGAAATTGGGAAGAGATTTGCAAATCTATGTGCATTCAACAAATTGGTTATAGGCGGCAAAATATTCCCACACAAACGCATACACAAAGCTACATGGGTCTCATAGAACCACACCACGGAGAACCAGATAAATTATATTTGCATCAGTAAAAGATTCACAAGGTTAATGGAAGACGTGAGAACCAGGAGAAGAGCTAACATCGCTACAGATCATCGCTATGGAAACCCTGCAAAAGATTTAAGAAAGAAAGAACAATAAGACAGCAATTAACAACAGCCGAACGAGAACAGAGAAAGTCAAGGCACAAGCTGAACACGCAAAAGAAAACAAGCAATTGAAGGAGAGCATTAGAGTTGACAAGCAGAAATACGTGGAAGAGCTAGCAACGACAGCGGTAAAAGTTGCACGAGGAGAAAATATGAAACAACTATATGACACGACGAAGAAACTGCCAGGGAAATATAGTAAACCAGAGAGACAGGCCAAGGAAAAAGAAAGCAAGACAATCACCGGGATTCAAGAATAGAGGAACAGATAGGTAGAACGCTTTGAAAATCTCTTCAATAGACCAGCTCCATTGAATCCACCGGACATCGAAGCAGCACCTACAGACCTCCCTATATATGTCACTCCACCAACGACGGGATAAATCAGGGTGGCCGTCAGACAAATCAAGAGTGGGAAAGTAGCAGGACCTGACAATATATCAGCCGAAGTACTAAAGTCAAACACAGAAGTAACTACAAAGATGTTCCAAGTTCTCTTCGAGAGGATTTGGAAGGAAGAACAAGTGCCGAAAGACTGGAAAGGAGGACATCTCATCAAGATACCGAAAAAGGAGATCTGAGCGAATGTGAGAAATACAGAGGCATCAAATTACTGCCACTACCAGGAAAGATTTTAAACAGTTTTGCCGGACCGGATGAAAGACAAAGAAGACACCAACTTAGAGACCAACAGGCCGGATTCCGTAAGGACCGAATCTCCATACTACGGATCGCCGTTGAACAATCATCTGAATGGAAATCACCACTGTACACCAACCTCCTTGACTATGAGAAAGTATTTGACAGTGTGGATGAGAGAACGTTATAGAGCTTTCTTCGACACCATAGTGTACCTAAGGGAATCGTCAACATCATCCAGAGTTCATACGACGGACTACACTGCAAAGTGACAGTTGACAAACGCATTCCAAGTAAGGACCGGAGTCAGACAAGACTCCAATACTATTTCCTTTTCTCTGGTGGTTAACTGGATTATGAAAACCTCGATATTTTATGGGGAGCACTGAATAAAATGGACAGGTTGGATGAAACTAGATGACTTGGACTTTGTAGATGACCTGACCATTTTATCGTTTATACATCAACAAATAGAGATGAAGATAAACAGTGTATCAGCAGCCTCAGAGGCAGTAGGCCTCAACATACACAAGGGCAAAACCAAGATCCTGAAATACATCACAGAAAACACCAAAGCGATCACATTTGATGGAGAAATTCTGGAACAGGTGGAAACTGCCACGTACCTACTCGGACAGAATCATCGATGAACAAGGCGGATCCAATACAGATGTAAAGGCGAGGATTGGCAAAGTAAGGACAACATTCTCACAATTGAAGATCATATGGAACTTGAAACAACTCTCAACCAATATCAAAGTCACAATCTTCAATACGATCGTCAAGACAGTTCTATTGTACAGATCTGAAAAGTGGAGAACTACTGCGACCATCATCAAAATGGTACAAATATTTATAAACAATTGTCTATGCAAGATACTTAATATCCGTCAGTCGGATACCATCAGCAACAGCCTACTATGGGATAGGCCAAACCAGCTTCCATCTGAAGAGGAAATTAGGAAAAGATGTTTGAAGTGGATAGAACATTACGGAAATCATCAAATCATCACTAGACGATCGCTAAATTGGAACCGTGAAGGGAAACGGGAATGAGTAAGGCTTAAGAACACACGACTTCGGGACTTGGAAGCAGACATGAAAATGATGAGTAAGCAGATAAAGCATAACAGAGACTGTATTGATTTCTTAACATCAGAAAGTCAATGAAAACAAAAGTATTCAATTGTGTACACTTATTCACAAAACAATTAGAATATTAAGCTCTATATAAATAACCTTACACAGCTTATAATCTCATTCACTTTCTCTATGTTACTTACTATGTTTAGTCCTGTACAAATTAAATTGCAGATTATCATCTTCATTGAGAATATCCCTAAATCTGACCGATCATTATAACGATCGATAAACATAGAAAAAAAATAAACCGATGAAATAACTGGTTTCATTTTGATTGGATCATATTCAAGGACAATATTATTTTGTTGTTCTACCTAAATAGTGCATATCACCATTACAATAATAAAAATATTTGCTACCATTTCTTTTTCCCTCCTTTGTTGTTGCATATTTTCAAATAAAAATAAAATCCAACTACAATGTGATTCATTTTTTTACATTGTATATACATACACTTGTATTATATATTCAGTTTATGACAGATATATTTGGTAAGTCACTTGATTTAATCAAGGTAACATTGATAATCATCTCAATGAGTCATAGATCTACAGTATCTATGATGATGATGATGATGATGATGATGATGATGATGATGATGATGATGATGATGATGATGATGATGATGATGATGATGATGATGATGATGATGATGATGATGATGATGATGATGATGATGATGATGATGATGATGATGATGATGATGATGATGATGATGATGATGATGATGATGATGATGATGATGATGATGATGATGATGATGATGATGATGATGATGATGATGATGATGATGATGATGATGATGATGATGATGATGATGATGATGATGATGATGATGATGATGATGATGGTGATGATGATGATGATGATGATGATGATGATGATGATGATGATGATGATGATGATGATGATGATGATGATGATGATGATGATGATGATGATGATGATGATGATGATGATGATGATGATGATGATGATGATGATGATGATGATGATGATGATGATGATGATGATGATGATGATGATGATGATGATGATGATGATGATGATGATGATGATGATGATGATGATGATGATGATGATGATGATGATGATGATGATGATGATGATGATGATGATGATGATGATGATGATGATGATGATGATGATGATGATGATGATGATGATGATGATGATGATGATGATGATGATGATGATGATGATGATGATGATGATGATGATGATGATGATGATGATGATGATGATGATGATGATGATGATGATGATGATGATGATGATGATGATGATGATGATGATGATGATGATGATGATGATGATGATGATGATGATGATGATGATGATGATGATGATGATGATGATGATGATGATGATGATGATGATGTTGATGATGATGATGATGATGATGATGATGATGATGATGATGATGATGATGATGATGATGATGATGATGATGATGATGATGATGATGATGATGATGATGATGATGATGATGATGATGATGATGATGATGATGATGATGATGATGATGATGATGATGATGATGATGATGATGATGATGATGATGATGATGATGATGATGATGATGATGATGATGATGATGATGATGATGATGATGATGATGATGATGATGGTGATGGTGATGGTGAATAATGACGTTTATTATTATTATTATCATTCGATTTCCACAAATCAATTATTTAGTTATAATAAATATACTAATTAAATATTTGTTTAAGTTATTTTATATATTATCAACTGATGAATATCTAGAATTTCAAGCTAAAACGGATTATTCTGTACATGGATGTCAACTGGTTAATGTCAATCTATTTTGATATCTGAATCTATCTTCTATACTAGTCGTAATTTGATGACAGCATAATGTATTGCTAAGATTAAGATAATTGATGCTTCACATTTAGACTGGAGGTAGCTGAATGAAAATTTATTCGATGGCAATCAGAAATGACCCTAACTTACTTCTCGTGGAGTAGCATAGGCCGCCCACCTTTACTGTCCATCCCACCCTCTCCCGGGCAATTCTTTCCAGTTGCTACATATCATTTTCATGTCTGCTTCCAAGTCCCGAAGTCGTGTGTTCTTAAGCCTTACTCATTCCCGTTTCCCTTCACGGTTCCAATTTAGCGATCGTCTAGTGATGATTTGATGATTTCCGTAATGTTCTATCCACTTCAAACATCTTTTCCTAATTTCCTCTTCAGATGGAAGCTGGTTTGGCCTATCCCATAGTAGGCTGTTGCTGATGGTATCCGACTGACGGATATTAAGTATCTTGCATAGACAATTGTTTATAAATATTTGTACCATTTTGATGATGGTCGCAGTAGTTCTCCACTTTTCAGATCTGTACAATAGAACTGTCTTGACGATCGTATTGAAGATTGTGACTTTGATATTGGTTGAGAGTTGTTTCAAGTTCCATATGATCTTCAATTGTGAGAATGTTGTCCTTACTTTGCCAATCCTCGCCTTTACATCTGTATTGGATCCGCCTTGTTCATCGATGATTCTGTCCGAGTAGGTACGTGACAGTTTCCACCTGTTCCAGAATTTCTCCACCAAGTGTGGTTGGGTTGATTGAAATTCGAAGAAGCTTGAATCTGATGAATAGCACTTAATTACTTACTTACTTACTTGCTTACTTACTTACTTACTTACTTACTTACTTACTTGCTTGCTTACTTACTTACTTACTTACTTACTTACTCACTTACTTACTTACTTACTTACTTACGGCTGTTACTCCTCGTGAAGGAGCATAAACCGCTCACCAGCACTCGCCATCCAACCCTATCCTGAAGAATTCTTTCTAGCTCCGTCTAGTTGTAATTCTTCGTTTTCATATCTGCTTCTATTATCCGACGCAATGTGTTCTTTGGCCTTCCTCTTTTTCGCTTCCCTTCAGGATTCCAAGTTAGGGCTTGCCTCGTGACGCAGTTTGACGATTTGCGTAATGTATGTCCTATCCATTTCCATCGTCTTTTCCTAATTTCTTCTTCAGCTGGAAGTTGGTTTGTTCTCTCCCACAGAAGGCTATTGCTGATGGTATCCGGCCAATGGATGTTGAGTATCTTGCGTAGACAGTTATTTATAAATACTTGTACTTTCTTGATGATGGTTGTTGTAGTTCTCCAAGTTTCAGCTCCATACAGTAGAACTGCCTTGACGTTCGTATTGAAGATTCTTACTTTGATATTGGTTGAAAGTTGTTTTGAGTTCCATATGTTCTTCAATTGTAGGAAAGCGGCCCTTGCTTTGCCGATCCTCGCCTTTACGTCTGCATCTGAACCTCCTTGTCCATCGACGATGCTTCCCAGGTATGTGAAGGATTCTACATCTTCCAGAGTTTCGCCATCAAGAGTGATTGGATTGCTGTTCTCCGCTTTGAATTTGAGGACCTTAGTTTTCCCTTTGTGTATGCTGAGGCCTACTGATGCAGAGACTGCTGCTACACTGGCTGTCTTTGTCTGCATCTGTTCGTGTGTACGTGATAGGAGGGCTAGGTCATCTGCGAAGTCCAAATCGTCTAATTGATTCTGAGCTGTCCATTGTATTCTGTGTTTTCCTTCAGATGTTGAGGTCTTCATAATCCAGTTGACCACCAGAAGAAAGAGGAAGGGAGAGAGTAGATAGCCTTGTCTGACTCCGGTCCTTACTTGGAATGTATCTGTCAGCTGTCCTCCATGCACGACCTTGCACTGTAGTCCGTCGTATGAGTTCCGGATAATATTGACAATCTTCTCAGGTACTCCGTAGTGTCGAAGAAGTTTCCATAATGTCCTCCTATCTACACTGTCGAATGCCTTTTCATAATCAATGAAGTTGATGTATAGTGATGAGTTCCACTCAACTGATTGTTAGACGATGATCCGTAGTGTTGCAATTTGGTCTGTGCGCGACCGATCCTTACGGAATCCAGCTTGTTGATCTCGAAGTTGGGCGTCTACTGCATCCTTCATCCGGTTCAGCAACAATCTGTTGAAGACTTTCCCTGGTATTGACAGTAGTGTTATGCCTCTGTAGTTTTCACATTTGCTCAGATCTCCTTTCTTTGGAATCTTGATGAGGTGTCTTTCTTTCCAGTCCATCGACACTTGTTCCTCCTCCCAAATCTTTTTGAATAGAAGGTAAAGCATGCTTATGGTTACTTCGACGTCTGATTTCAGTGCTTCAGCTTGTATGTTGTCAGGTTCTGCTGCTTTCCCTCTGTTGATTTGTCTGATGGCCATTCTGATTTCTTCCGTCGTTGGTGGATTGACATCTATAGGAAGATCTGTGTGTGCTGCTTCGATGTCCGGTGGATTCATTGGAGCCGACTTATTCAGGAGTTCTTCGAAGTATTCTACCCATCTGTTCCGCTGTTGTTGAATTTCAGTGATTGGCCTGCCTTTGTTCTTGACCGGTCTCTCTGGCTTACTGTATTTCCCTGCTAGTTTCTTCGTTGTATCGTAAAGCTGTTTCATATTTCCTTCTCTCGCAGCTTTTTCTGCCGTCGTTGCTAGTTCTTCCACGTATTTCTTCTTGTCGGCTCTAATGCTCCTCTTCACTTGCTTGTTTGCTTCTATGTATTCAGCTTGTGTTTGGACTTTCTCTGCTCGTGTTCGGCTGTTGTTTATTGCTGCCTTCTTGTTCTTCCTTTCTTTGATCTTGTCCAGTGTTTCTGTAGAGATCCATTCCTTATGATGGTGCTTACTTAGACCCAGAACCTCTTGACACGTTGAAGTTAATACTTCCTTGATGCCTTTCCAGTTGTCCTCCATAGTAGTTTCTTCTTCTTTCAGTAGATCTTGTAAGGCTTGGAACCTGTTGTTAAGAGCTATCTTGAATTCATTGAGTTTGTCAGTATCTCGAAGGAAGGCTGTATTGAACCTTTGTATTTCTGTTTGTCCACTTGTCCAGTTCTTTTTTAGCTTCAGTTTTAAATTGGCTACAACTAGGTGGTGATCTGAAGCTACGTCAGCACCTCTCCTGGTTCTCACATCTTCCATTGTCCTTCGGAATTTTTTGTTGATGCAAATATGATCTATTTGGTTCTCTGTAGTGTGGTCCGGTACGATCCATGTAGCCTTGTGTATACGCTTGTGTGGAAATATTGTGCCTCCTATGACCAATTTGTTGAATGCACATAGATTTGCAAATCTTTTTCCATTTTCGTTTCTTTCTCCCAGTCCATGTCGTCCCATAATATCTTCATATCCAGTGTTGTCTATTCCGACTTTGGCATTTAGATCTCCCATTAGAATGGTGAGGTCCTTTCTTGGGCATTTCTCAATGATTGACTGCAGCCGCTCGTAGAACTGATCTTTAATGTCGTCGTTGCTATCATTGGTGGGTGCATAACATTGGATAATATTCATTAAGATCCCCTCCTTCTTTGTTTTGAATGATGCTTTGATGATTCTGGATTCGTGAGATTCCCATCCTACAAGTGCATTTCGTGCTACTTTGGACAGCATCAGAGCAACTCCCTGAGTGTGTGGAGCATTGTCCTCTTCGTGACCGGAGTATAGCAGCATCTCTCCCGTAGCCAGCCTTTTCTGTCCAGCTTGGGTCCAGTGGGTTTCGCTGATTCCCAGTACTGCTAAGTTGTATGTCCTCATTTCCATTGCTATTTGACTGGTCTTCCCGGTTTCCCACATTGTTCGAACGTTCCATGTACCTATAAAATTTTTTGCTCTGGTTGTTAGAAGGGGCATCGGCCTCGTGGCTTCCGAAGGAACTCGGCTTTCACCATGAAGCGTCATAATTCTTCTAAATGAAGACCTTCTAACTCCCAGGGCAGAGTTAAAATGGTTTGGATTATTTTTTTCTGGTAAGCGTTTTTTTAGCGAGTTAGTTTTCTACGGGATGGGGACGCTAACCCCATGTCCAACCCTCCTCCTTTACCCGGGCTTGCGACCGGCAGTAACCCTATAAGAGCTACAGGCGGAGTTGATGAATAGCACACTAATGTATAAAGTGTTGATGAGACAAAAATTTGCATGAACAACTATAATCTAAATTATCAGTCAATGTAGGATAATGAGATTTAGGACCTCGTTGTAACTAATAGTTGACACAGGTTAAATTATCATTTGACGACTTTACTGCCTCATGAACAATGAACAGAAGCTGTATTAATAAGAAATTCATATCCAAAACAATTCCATTTGATTAATGAATAAATTAACTGGTAAAAAGGAATAAAAATTATGCACAATTCATAATTTTACACAAATCACACCATTTTATTAATATCGATTGCTAATAGCAATGTAAGCTGAGTGGCGGTTAAATAATGAAGCCAATTATAAGAAACTAATATGAAATTTCTTTTCTCGTTTAGAATTCCTGATTGGTTTAATTCATAAAATGGACCGCAGAATGTGAATTTACGAATAAATGATAGTACCTTCTGAATAAATAATAAATTAGTATCAGAAGGGGTTTTGTAGAGATTGTAGTAATTTCAACAGTTGAGATCATGAGTCAATTGAAGCTAGACCACCATGGAAAACCTGGAAGCACTGGACGGCCGGTCGCGAGGCGGAGTCGTGGATGCACACTGCTGAGGAGTCCCACAATAGGTTGAAACGGCCGTCCAGTGCTTCCAGATTTTCCATGGTGATCTAGCTTCAATTGACTCATGA